GTTAATTTACACCGACCACAATTAATCAATAAACAGGCAAAAGAGAATACCTATATACATAAAATATTGAATAAAAACAGGCGCACGGGGCGTCATTACGAGGACGCCTCTACTTAAAAACAGATAATTATAACAATAAAAAAAAACAGGTGGTCGTTTAACACCCCATTCAATAGACATTTACTTCACCACATTTCAGATCCCCATACGCGCCATAAGAGTAAAGTACGGCCCCGTTTTCTTACGTCTTATTAACAAAAAACTACATCGAATGTCGTCTACCTTTAATCCGTTGCACCAGGTTGCAAATTTTCAAAGCAGGGCCCAATTTCAGACCCATGTACCTCATCATGGTATCGGGTGTGAGAAGCAAGAGTGCTTTTCCATCAATTTCCTATGGACACAAAAAAAATATTTTGATTAATTATGTTGTCTCAAAAAGGGACACCTGCTTGGCACTTACGTGTTTCCTGAAGAGATCTGCGTGGACTCCAAGACAGGGATCTGCGGATTCGATAAACTGAATCACCTCCTCGATGCCCCATTCTTGTGGCGGAGTCTTATTTAGCGACGACACTGGTGAATCGCTTAGAGGGGTGTCAGTAGGGGTGGTAGACGTGGCAGCTTCTTGTTCTGCCGGCGTCTTGCGCTTTGTAGGAGGCGGCCTGTTGTCACACATCACACACTCCCTTTTTATATGTTCTAGAGCTTGAAAAAGAAAGAAAAAGAATTAGATAACACCAACTAGCCTCACATACTCTAATGTTTTACCAAAAAGTTGCGAACAGCATCCCAAACTCGTCACTAAAGCGGTAAAAACACCTTCCAGGTCGCTTGCCTTTTGCAAACCCGGTAATTTAATGGTATACGAAGTACCCTCGTGCGTAACTACCATCTCTTCGCCCTGGAGACTGCCCAATCGTGCTAGGACAACGTCCGGCTTATTAGAAGCCCCCAGCAATTCAACGACAAGCTTCTTGGCCAAATCGACGGGACTGGTGTCTTCTATTATCAATGGCAACAGAGAAGAGTCTATCAAAGGTCCTCCCATGCAACTCTTGCGTAGATGAACCACGATCGGAGGCGGAGGTGGGGCTGATGTGTCCGCTTCTGGAGACTGGACATCAATCGTTGTACTCACTGTGTTATTAGTCGTGGCAGAGGCGGGAGTAGTCGTCGAGGGCAGGGAGAAGGTGCGTATCTTGAATCTGAGAAAAGTAGTCTTTAGAAAGAGTTGCAAAAGGAATGGAGCAGTGTTCCCGGTACCTGTTAGAACCTGTGCTGTTTTTCTGACCCGGTGGTTGTAAAGGGTGACCGCTTTTTGCCGACCAGCCTACAGGAAATATGTCGCGACTGTCGTAGCGGCACCAGTAGTCGAAGGCGCCCCTCCAACCGTCGAATGTGACGTGAATTTGATCTTGCTTGATGGCTCCAACTGTAAATATTAATGTACAAAATGCAAAAAGTTTTAAAAATCGTAATAAAAAGTAAAAACCTGTTGCACAGCAAATCAGCTGAGGATTTTTCTTATCTACGGCCTCCAATTTTTGCCCCACTTGGAAAAGATTCGTCCTGGGACCGGAGGGTTCCGACTGGAATATCTTTGAAGGGGCCATTTCAGCCCCGTTCAATGTTTTCAACAAAAACATTGGCCATGAACTTGCATTCATTCTGAACCCTAATAAAACAAAAAGCATCATCAATTTTTCATGTCACAAAGACAATGAGTGCTTTAGACTTCCTAGACTTTACTTACCAAGAGGTGGCTGCAGCATGCCCCCAGACTTTTCACAATGACCGATTGGATGAATTTCACTTGAATCCACCAATCTCCAAAAATCATTCTTATTGTCACTACCATCTAATCTTAAACGAAGTCTTGGTCCTAAGACACTAATCACAGTGGCTATGCAAGTAGAAGTTACATTGCGGGGATCCAATGCTTCCAGTTTCATTCCCACTTTGAAATCATTCTGTGGGGGATTCACTGCTTGTTTGAAACAATCAAGAGGTGCAGGAGAACTATTTGTCTGCTTCAAATATTCATCCCAGTTAAACGCCTGATAGGTTTCATACTAATAAATAAGAAAGTAAAAGATAAACATAACCTAGATACTTTAATGGAAGAAATCCCTTACCTGAAACGTATCAAAAGAACTTTCAATGAAATGGCCTGCTGTAGTAGGAGCTACAGAAGCAATTTTACTGTTTACCTCAGACTTCTTTTGATGCTTATTCATACAATAAGTTGAACAGTAATCCTTGTTTCCACTGCTGTTTGCTCGAATGACATTGTCGCAGTTTAGGCAGGCACCCTTCATGTAAGCTTTTCTGAATTCTGCCAAGCATGTCTCGGAACAGAATTCCTTTTTACCGCTTGTAGTGGGTAGCACATATTTGAGGGGTTGTTTTCCTTCGTTGCACCAAGTACAAGATACTGTCTTTTTGGGAGGTCTACCGGGTCCACGGATTTTTGCAGGAGCCATAGAATTATTGCTTGACATTGTCTTTTTTAATACGCAATCCATCTTTTAATTGTCATCAGTTTAAAAAAATACCTCCCTATATATAAACACTATAAAACGTTAATTTACACCGACCACTAAGAGACGTCAGTCAATAACCCCACCACAACATTATTATGAAATGTTGCGAACCATAGATAGTTGCCAACAGCAACAACAACCTTGAGAAATTAAATTAAAAAACATCTATTGAAAGTGTCAACAGTACCATACTTTATAAATTTATTTATANATATTTGAAATATAACTCAAAATATGGAAAAGATAACACTTGGTAAATGAGCAGAAAATTAAATGTTCAAGTGCTGCTATAAAACCCGAATATTAAATTTTCAAAAGTCACTATAAAAATTAAACATCAAATTGCAAATTCTCAGCAAACTGCAGAAAAAACCCAAGTCGTAACCCTTTGTGTACCATTGCAAGAGAAACCAGTAACTTTAACTTATAAAACGACTTACCATTTGAAGTCATCCTTCCAAATTCGATTCCGACTTAAAAGTTGGTCAGATGATGCATTTTCGGTGCAAGTAGAAGAGGTCTAGGTGTTGGCTGGTTTTCGCCGATAGCCCTCAGAATAACTGATGTCGTTGTCCCGAAACTTTGCTCTAAATCTTGCCGCTAACTTTTCTTGAACTGATAAAAGAGAAACAAATTCAGTAATTCCTTCGGGCTGGGAAAATGTGGGGACGCTAGTTTCCCCAACTTTTCTCAAAGTGCGCATATGTTGAATAAAATTTCTAACGATGATGCAGATGTCCGAACCCAAAACCAATTCAAAAGTTTACTGTTTTGTTTTAAAACAACCACTCAAAAACGCTCTACACCTATCTACAATATTTTCGAATTATTCCGCTGTATTCGCAGATAAATATAAATGTGCACAAGTTATCGTTCTGTGTTTAATAAAATTTTGATTAAACAATTACAATTTAGTACCAATTTCTGCCTTCATACCTCATCAAACGAAAAAAACTTTTTAATTTTAATTTTAATTTTTTTAATAATTTTTTCGCAATTTCTTTTTTTTTTTTCATAACATCGTCAAACAAGCATATCAACTCCAAAAGAAAACTCAACTGGATGCCAAGAAGCTACATCCGGCTTCATCAACAAAATCTCGTAAAAAAGATGGAAAAGGAAACTGATGATAACTTGGGTTAGATATAGGAAGTTTCGAAAATACGTGGCGAATTCATATGTTGTCGCGTGTACCATACAGGCGAGTTTAGGTGCTCCCTGATAACATTTTATTCTAATGCAGTAATTTAGTTATATTATCAAATAATTTAAAGATTTCAGAGTAGCCAGTAGTTTTAGGCAACAAAGTATTTTCTTCTTTTAATAAAAAATCAAACATTTATTCCTTTGTTTCTTTTATAGATCATAAAATAATAAACTAAGACGATTTTGTAATATTCCTGCATCAGAGCGCCACCTAATTGCCAATAGCGCAAATAACGCAGCATACAAAATTTTAAGGTATTTCCCAGCTTATAATAAAAAAAATAAAATAAATAGTATTATAAACATAATTATCTCACCTATTACTATTTCAATTACTACCGGACATAGGCAAATAAGATTATGCCTGCTTGCAAACTTAAAATTATTATTTCAACGACGTTTATAAAACATATATAACCATAAGACTCCATTATTTTCGTTATGCATTTTACCATTCAGTTTATTTAATTTCAGATGACGTTATCCCTTTTATTATAATAATATATTTTACTACATTAAAATTTGAAATAAGTGTTCAAGTACCTTTGCCGCCCTCTCTGTCAGAATGGTGAGAAATAACATGTAGTTTATTATCGCGTGACCAATATTTCAATGAAAGTCCCTAATTACATCAAATACATTTCATATTACAATTAAATTAATTAATATTAACGTTTTTTCTCTTATTTATTGGCTTTCTATTGTTACTTAAGAGCAAATAAGCGAATTTCACAAAATTTTGCCTAGAGCGCCACCTAATGGAAAATAGCGAACTCATGTTCCTTAAGGCTTGTAAAATTCCTGGATGTTTACCTTTAAAAAAATTTAAACTTTCTTACCTGTTGATTTGTCATCTGGGCAGGTAAAGGTGGGCATCATGACATCATAAACTAAAGGTGCTTAATCAAAACAACTGATAATTTTTTTTAAACAAAGTTTGAGATCCGATTTGCTCCGTTATCATTTCAACTCAAATAACATACGCGGAACAGGTGTTTCAACGATTTCGAATATTTTGATTTTAACACAGGTAGTAAATATACTAATTTATCGCTAATTAAGTTAATAACAATTATTAAAACCCCTAAATTACTTGCATTTGCTACAAACAACACTTAGCATAACAGCAACCATTTTGGAAAAGATCAAGGCAATCTCTGATCACAACTGCTATCCTTTACTGAAACAAAAGTAGTGAAATTTTTTCAAAATAAAATAACTGTTTATGAGCTTATCCGACACACTTTTTCGATTCTACAAACGCTATATATATCCTCACATTCATAGTCCTTCTTTTGATAAGTATGTTTAATTTTATTTTTGCTTTATTAGGTCCATTTTTAAGGATGTTTTTGGTTGTGCCCGATTTAAAACATCTCTTCCTGTTATTCTCCATTGGATTTTATTATGTTGGGGGTACCAGCTGCAAAACACCTTTATTAAAGAAATGCAAGTGTGGCAGGGGCCCATATGATGGCAAAGAATTATTTATTGTCAACTGTACAAACACAGGTTTCCAAAACACCGAC